TCTCATCAACATGACTGTCCAAATGTGAACTAAACAGAGACAACAAGAGACAAGCCAAAGCGGATGGAGAAATTCCCAAGAGGCCTCAACTCTACACAAAGAACCAGAGGCAATTGAACAAAAAGCTGAAAGTGGGCAAGGTGATCCTTCCCAGAGAAGAGGATGTGAATTGGTTGTCCAGTGCCAAATGGTCAGCCTTGAAAACATACGTACAAGAAATGTATGTACTGAATAGGTTGTATTTAGGAATATACATGTATATACACAAATAAATATGCATGCAATAACAAACAGAGAAGAAAGAGCCATAAATTTGTAGGAGAGTAGGGAGGGGCACATGGGAGGTCGCAGAGAGAGGAAAGAGAAGGGAGAAATGTTACAATTATAGTATAATCTCAAAAATTAAAAAAAGAAGTATACCAGTAATCAAGTGAATTGATTGCAGAGATCTTGACATATATATATACACACACACACACACACACACACACACACACACACACACACACGCACCAATATTCACAATATGCTATGGGGAAAAGGCATTTGCTGGACATTCTGCTTTAAAGCATTTTTAAACTGTAACTGTACAATTAATTCCATGAGGCCAGGTAGAAATTATGCTGTTTATGGCACTCACTTACTTCCCACCTCCATTTCAATCTTATCTGACCTCACTGGCTCCACTCAGCAGGCTAAACAAGAGGGCTTTGCAAATCTTCATCGTTTCCTTTTCCTCCTTGTACTTGGCATATGACAATCACTCAAAGTGCTCGCTGTTTGGTGAAGACACAATAAGTAAACATTAGCATCTCTTTCACGGCCTCATCAGCTCCGCACAGTTGATTTGGACAGAAACAGAGCTGGTCCATGACAGAGCAGGCATTTTTAACTCTTTACCTTCTCATTTCATCAACCAGGGAATATTTGGAAGGCATTTCAACTACACGCAGTGCTCACCTCGAAGAGGTTTAGCCAATGCAGTGTCCTCCATTTTGTTAGCATGTTCAAATTGCTCATGAGCCGGAATGACCAACCTTTCCTCTAAGTCCATCAACTCAGTCCAGCAGGGTTGTCTGTCATGCCATGTCAGTTTAGCAAAGAAGCAATTTCACTGGCATGTCTCCAATGCTGTTATTTTACAGGTTTTGTAACCTCCCTTCCATTTTAAATAGAGGTCCTGTGTTGTCTGCATATTTTATACTCTTAGCGGTGTGTGCAGGGTGGCTCACACAGTAGCAAATATTTCGCTCCTTTAGTAAGCTGATTACAGGGAAGAGGGCACCATTGCTTTTTTTCCATAACGAGATAAGAAGAGATGCTGAGAAGGCTCTCCCTTCCACGGCAGTCATCTTAACTTAGACTCACCTGGGAAGACGGTCTCAAGGAGGGAATGTCTAGATCATATTGGCCAATGGGCCCGTCATAGGAGATTGTCTTGATGGCTTTAATTGATGTGGGAAGACCCCACCTGAGTAGTAGGGCCGGGGAGGAACATTTCCTGGAATTCGTAAGAGTAACAATATGTAGCTAAATTGTAGGGATGAATGCATCTGTCTGCTCTTGGCTGTGGATATGTGTGCTGGGTAGTTTTTCATCAACTTGACACGAACTAGAGTCATTTGGGAAAAGTCAGTTGGAAAATGTCCCCCACTATACTGGCCCATGGGCAAGCCTATTTTCTTGGTTGATAATTAAAGCAGGAGGCTCCAGCTCAGTGGAGGGGGTGCCACCCCTGGGTTGATGGCCTTGGGTGCCATAATAAAGCAGAATGAGCAAACCCTGAGGAGCAAGCTAGTAAGTAGCATTCCTCCATGGATTCTGTTTCAGTCCCTGTCTCCAGGTTCCTGTCCTGCTTGAAGTTCCTGCCCTGACTTCCCTCAGTGATGGACTGTTATATGGAAACAGAAGTGGAAAAAAAAAACCAAAAACCTTCTCTTCCCAAATTGCTTATAGACATGGTGTTTGTCGCAGCAGTAGAAACTAAGACAATGTGATTGGGCACCGCTAGCCACTGCCACTGCCACACCCATGCTGTAGTGGGCTGGAGCCTGGAACTCTGAGCTGAAACCAACTCCTTTCTCCCAAGTTGCCTTTTGTCAAGATACTCTATTTCAGCCTCAGAAATAAAACTAAAATATGTATAAAGACCTAGTAGTCTCTATCATTTGCCACTTCCACAAATGATTTCATATATGTGGGGCAAAAAGAGTTCATTCAAAATGGCATATTTTGTGGTCCAGCTAACAGAAATGCTGAGGTCACTTTATAACAAACTGGAACGCTCTTGCAGCTTACACGCACCACTTTGGTACAATCAAAAATAGCACTTGTGACAGCTTTCTACATTATACAACACAACTAGAGGCTATAAAACCAACACATTAAAATAGCCTAGAACAAAGTGTGATTTGGGAGGTCTCCGTGGGTCCGGAAAGCCACATTTCTCAGGTGTGAAACAGTCTTGTAATTTACAAACAGGTACAGAGAGAGAGAGATGGCAAATACAACACAAAAAACCTCTTCGCTTCATCAGCAGTCCCCAGCAGCCCGGCGCCCCCGCTTCTGTGTTTATGACACACCACACAGAATGGACTGCCAAATGGGCCCGATTTTCAGTTCAAGAAGTGTTCAATCATTTCTTCCACATCTTGACTCATGAGAAGTGATTTTCCAAATTCTTTCTGATGCTGGAACTGATCCAGAAAGAGCTCACTAAGCTAACGTCTCCTGAAAGTTTCAAGTGGATGTGCATCTGAGCCCCGACATTATACATATGCTTCTGATTCATTTATACGGAACTCATCAAAGGACTGTGTCATGAGGGTTTTTTGATGTTCGAGAATACTTGAGGGTTTTTAAATGGAATTTTATACTTTCCTTCACCATTTTTTTTTTTTTGAGTGAGCCAGACATTGATGTGAGTAAACAAGCTTGGACCCTTGAGAATCGGGGTTTACTTTTATATTTGAAATGAAGGGGAAGTAGCTGACAGTTGGCAGACAAGGCATCCTTAGCCTTGGGTGCACATTGGCACCAATCCCCAAGGGGTAGCAAGGGAAAGGGTGAGCAGGGAAACTCCTTGCAGAAGACCTTCTTTTATTTTGTGGTTGAGTCACTCAGTTTCAACAGTCAGCCTCAAAGCTGAAGCAAAATACAATCTTGGAAGGTAGCTGAGGGCTCTCTCTGGCCAGCTTGGGAAGGCGGCGTTCAAATGTTCCTGCTGCACAGTGTTTCCTTTTCAAGGGAGAGAAGCGACCAAAGCTTTTCAGGAACCCGATGTGTATTCACCTGAACGCATCACTTCCTACGTTGATGTGTGGAGGAGACAGGACAGGAATCTCTGGCTACAGCTGAGGACTAATTAAGGCTGCTCTCTTACAAACATTCTGTGCTCACTCCGTTCTTCCCTGATTAAGAACAAAAGGAAAGAGGAGTCATTTACTGCCATGAGTCACTTGAGGGTACAATGGATGGAATTCCAAAAGGCTCATGAGACAAAACAAAGCTGACATTATGAAAGCCATGTCTACACACTAATTTAAACTGTCAACTCACTCCCAAGGAAGACTCCTGACAGACAGAGAATTAAAGCTTAAAAGACCTCATAAATCACTGCGATTAACACTAGTGTGAGTGACTTAAAATACATTTCTGCCATGAGAAAGCTAGAGGGCTTCAAAGCGGCCCTATAGGACCCGATGGGGAAATTGGTTGTAATAACTAGAAAGAGCAATACTCAAACAGAGCTCCTTGGGGGTTTCAAAGCCTCAGCATCACCACCCCAGTTATCCCAGGTCCCCGAGTGAGTGAAATACAATCTGCCCACTTTGAGGATTTGGGATATAGCATAATAAAAAGTGACTTGAAAAATGTTAGAATCCAAAAACTATGATTTACAAATATCCAGCATTTTTTCAAACCCCAAACCATTAAAAATAACTAAAATGCTACTTGACTGTATGACTCAGCTGTGGCTTTCACACCACTTTGTCCATCTCCCGTTTCCCATTTGTGCCTCTCCCAACAATTCTGCGTCGTGCACAATTATTATGCCGTAAGACTCAACACCATTTCTCCCACCAGGGCTGAGTTTCTAAGCTCTGTTGCCAACACCAAGATGCCTCCATAGAAAAGGTTGTTAGCATTTTCATCACCTTTTGTATTTTAAAATACTGGCTCTTTAGGGCTTTTGAGTTAAAAATAAGAGATCCCCTTGCATGTTGGCGGCAGTGATGGGAAGACATGAGGAACCCGTGTGCCCACAAGGTTTGAGAGAGGCCAAGGCACACGAGGCCAGTGAAGCCATTGAGAGCAGTACAACCCTTCTGCAGAGGAAAGCGAACTGTGAACTCTGGAAAGTTAAGTTGCAAGACAGTAATTCTTCCCCTACTCCCAAAGCTGCACCAATTATTTCTCTATAGGTGCCCCCCCCGCCCCCCCCTGCACAAAGACCCCATAAAATCCTACATTGTTTCCTGAGTCCTTGATGCAACCTGGATGATCTTTAACTTGGATCTTCTCACAGCCCTGCCTTGTCCAGAAATGAATTTCTGAAGTACATGTTGATCTGGTCTCTTCCTCTCCAAATCAGAAACTTTTACATACAGCAACTTTATTTCATTCTTTGATTTTTTTTCCCCTCTCACCCTCCTTTTGGCTTAAATCAAGCTGCTACAGAAATCCACACGGAGAAGAGTAGAATATAACTGCTCCACTCTTCACACTGACCCCACCCTTAGCCGGGATACAGCTGCGAGGACCCCTCCTCTCAGGGTTGCACCGCTCTCCCTCTGCCCCCTCTCTAAGCAGTTGTGGGAAGCACTCAGACGTGGAGTGATAAACAGCCCTAAGAACACCTCTGAGGAAGCACCTTGAGGCGAGTCAGTTGGCTGAACCACGAAGCCCGCGGTGGGACACTCACTGCTCGGCTCCAAGACATAAAATTGAGGCCCCAGCTTGGACATGGGTCTCAGGACCCCTTTAAGGATGTGACCGGCTCCAAAGCTTCTCTTTCTGGTTCACATGTATGTCAGTCCTCTACCCAATGGGAATCTTAGCTGAATGTTTTAGTGGCGCCGCAGGGGTTGAGTTACAGTCACATTACTCTCTCTATCCAGATCCATAATGCCAAAACTTTTTTTTTTTTAATTTATTTTTAGGAAAAGTAGCAAGCATGCAATGTAACTAAGATTTCTCTTTGGGTTGTACTTCTGGATTCCAAAGGAGAACTCTAACCAGAAACTGCAAAATTGGTCTCAATAAAACTGTTGTGAAGGGCATCCTGCTTCCTTGAGAGTGGGCTCAAGCACATGCCCACAAATCTCCACCAAGCCACAGACTTGGAAAAAAAAAAAAAAAAAAAAAAAGACCCTCTACTCTCACTCTCTGACTCAGAGCACAAAGATCAGTGCTTTTTTTGTGTGTGTGTGCCTCTTAAAATGGCTCCCTTTGAAACTGAAAATTGTCACCAAATTTCCAGAAGGCAACCATGGGAGATGATTGTTCTGTAGAGAGACACACTGTAGTGATGTCTGCTGAACATTGCCCTCCGATAGTGAAGCCACTGTCTGCTTCTTCCTGCCCACCTCACTCACAAGGCTGAAGCTGCCCGAAGGCGTCCGCAGCCCCCTTCTAACGGTTCGCCTGTATTTCCAGGCTCCCGGTTCATCATGAGCTCACAGATGCATCCGGCCCCTGTGGTTCCTTGTAAAGTTTAGTTCACCGAAAGCTGTCCTAGGTATTAGGCAGAGGCTCTGGCATCAGGTCGGGGTGAACCTGCCAGCTCTTGAAGTGCTAGAAGCATGGTTTGATTTGGTTACGCTGCTTCAGGCTCCAAGTATAGGGAACACCTTGCCAAGCCAGAAACTTGTGCTTGCAAGTCAAATGACGAGACTTCTAGAACATCACAAAGATCATCTTTGGACTTGGCCATATCTTGCTGACATTCCTCCTGTGTTTGTAAACACTGCTGACTTTGACCCCAGTCTCTCACCAATCCACGAGCGACACCAAGCAGCCCCAGAGGAGCTGCAGAACAGAATGTGATTCTGTAATGCAAAACAGGATGGCTTGCTAAATGGGCAGATCTGGAGAGAATGCCTGACATAATCCTGCTTACGTCTTTTATGATAATCATTTCCATCTTTAGAACACACGCAAACAAAGCTTCCTTGGACACTGCTTCTGGAGACCGGAGAAGAATCCCTTCTGCTGGGTGAGCGGCGTGTGACAGAGCACTGAGGCTGTGAGCATGCAAGAAGACACATCACTGCCTGTGAAAGGACCAGTGAAGAGAAACCAGGGAGCTAGCTGGGGAGTGGTGGGTGGGGGTGCTTCTGCAGAAGGCAAAGAAGTCAAACAGCAATGACCCCACCCCAAACACTTGGAAAGGATGGTCTACCTGTGGCTTCCTCACCCACATGCTCATTAAATAAACACTGGGTGTCCACTACAAGCCATGAATGTGCTACGTGGGCAAGGAGCATTTGTGAGGAAGGGATCAGGAGCTGATATCCAATAGTGCAAATCTATTCAGTCTCACCTATCAGAGCATTGAAATAGAGTCATTATTTGCATATAAAATAACTGGAACTCTACACTTTCTACCTCTGGGCAGCTGCTCTGCCCCATGCTAGAAAGAACAAAACCGATGTTCTTGTCATCTTTGTACAGAATCATAGTTCTAGTTCAAAACTTTGGTTTCTATAGAGTATAATGTATTTCTGTTTATGAATGCAGCCATGCATTTGCCGTGGCACACGTACAGAGGTCGCAGGACAACCTCCAGTATCAAAGTGAAAATGTATAACAATAGTGTTGACTGAACAAAGCCCTGTAGATGGTATACCATTACCAACACAGCTATTCAGAAAATCAGGTTTAGCTAAAATACAATGTATCTTAAAGCATATATATTTGGTTATATCTGGTTAAAAGACATGGAATGAGGCATCAGTTAATCTAACTTTTTTGTTTTTACCAAAGGATGTCTTAAAGTTAAATATGATCTTTTATGAAAGAAAAGTGTCTGAGCAGTGCACCAAACTTGAAGTTGGAAAAATCTGGAAGGAGATGCTTCCTCAAAGTTCAATAAACGCCATGCTCTAAGTCTGCCAAAACTGATAATTAAAATTCAGTTCAACTTTTAAAATTCATAGTAAGCATGGGCCTCTCCCCAGGAGTTGTATGAGGTGCTAAGTGGGCGGCCGAAAGATGTTGAGAAGTTTAGATGTGGGCGCTGTGTTGGGGGAACTGAAAAGCTGTTTGAAAAAAGTCACTGCTGGCATGTCTTCTCTTTTCTAGTTAAACAAATGTAGCAGGTAACATCAGACAAATTTTGATCCGTTTATCCAGCCCATAATAATAGTGGAAGTTAATGGTTAAGACTGAGTAGATGGTGTTCTGAACCAAGCATCTTGGGTTTTTCTGTAGGCTATAGGTAAAAACATTTTTTAACAACTGCAATTTAATTTAGAGCAATCTTTTACAATTCTGATGTACATTTTTCTGTGCATGTACCACATGCCACACTTTTTTCCCCATAAGAAGATGAGGAGTGGTTTAAACTTCTTTTTGAAATTAGAACTTGTCAGTCTAGTATAGTTTAATCATGATCAAATAGTGGCTGCACAATTAAAACCCAGAAGGTACAGAAGAGAATCGCAAGCATTTACCAAGATGATAGATAAATTGCAAAGGGTGACTTTATAATGGCCCAATGACTTTTCTCAACTTGTGACTTGTTTCTTCAATACTGAATCCCATTTATATAAGTGATGTCACCACAAATATTCTTTCCAAATTTAGAATCTACCTTGAGATACTTAGAATGTCACTTTTTTTGTTTTGTTTTGTTTTGTTTTGTTTTGTATTAAGAAAGGGAAAACAGACAAGCCTGGCTAAATGACAATCTTTGTCTTAGGATGAAGTGTGAAGTGAAGACCGAGGTCACAGTGATGTCACATCAGAAGTTGGATGCCATTGAGAACCCACACAATGAAGGTTCAAAGTTATTGCCAGGAAACCCATTCCCACTCATAGGATTATTGACCCTGTTCAGGAGATCTCAGTATGTGGAGGAGCTGCGTAGCCATGACCTTGGGAACTCTAAGACATACCGAAGTTCAGGAGAAAGATTCCCTGTCTCAGAGTTTACCCACATCTGAGAGCAAGGGTTTGAGGTATGAAGGAACCAGAGGACACCGTCTCAGAGTAGGCATGAACAAGAGGGAAGAAAAGACAGAGCAAAGTGACAACCCAGCCTTTGTCTTTGTCACTGGGTCTCCAAGTTGGGAGGTGAGTCCTGGAAGGTTCTTGGGGAAACATTTTAAAAATGTGATTAACACCTCTATGCAGATGCAATTTTCCTGTGAAATCGTGCAGTAGACTGTCGTTATAACAAGCACTC